CATTCGAATGCCACAGACGACCGTGGCGCCGGCGCCTCTGCCGCGACCCCCCGTCCGCTTCTCCCTCCACCCCGACTCAGCTCCCTGCGACCAACCCCCGCGTGTCTGCCACACGCCTTCACATCGCTGGGGGCCACGTGTCCACGTGGCAGAGCGAAGCACTGGGATTCAAGTCACAGACTTCGGGGTGGCCTGGCGGCCGCTCCGCCCCCCGCCCTCCCGCGCTAACGCGCTCTGAGCCCGTTCGTGCACCGGTGACGCCGAGATTAAACCGTTAAGAGCGTGAAGTGAGTTCTATTTGCGAATGAGTGGTAAGGACCGTGAGAATTTCCTGGTGCGTGGAAGCCCCGCGTAAATGCCGGAAAACGAAATACAGCGATTCGGCAGCCGGCCACGTGCGCGAGCAGGCCGGGCTGTGGCGACGCACCTCTGCAGGCGGGCTTGCTGTGGTTCCACGTGCCGTCCTTGGTGCAGCGGATGGTGGGCGACGTGGCCGGCTCCATGACGTAGCCGGGGTTGCACTGGTAGCTCACAGTCTTGTTGAAGGTGAAATCTGCCCCAAACTGGACGCCGTTGGCCAGCGTGCCTGGGTCCCCACAGCTTATAACTGATAGGTGGGAAACAACAAAAAATGAGAGAAATGCAGAATTACCCTCGAATTAGTCACGGTTTCTAGTCGAGTCACTCCCTGTAACTCGAAGCGATTAATCTGTGACTTATTACGTAGCCGTGGCACAGTCAGACGCCCGCCCCGCCCCGCGGTCAGGTGCTGTGTTTGGAGCTGCTCGTGACTCTCCCTGGGCTGTCGCCCGTGGGTGCCGGCGGCCATCCTCGCCTAGTCCCTACCGAGGCTCCGTGTGCCATCGGTCACACGCGAAGTTACGGGCGGCGCCGCAGGCCGCAATCACAGCAAACGCTTTCCTACTCCCTTGGGGCCTAAGCGGTCTGCAGAGACAACGAACCTATTTATTTATTATTTTGGCCTCAGTTTTACAGTATCCAGCCCCACTGGCCGTTTTAAGTAGTTTCGACCAAATAAGAAAGTAAAAAAAAAAAACAAACTGAAAGTATCTAATACACAGTCAAAATACCCAACTCTCCTCTGCCTTTTGTCTCTACGTGTTAAAAAGTCAGGACCACACTTAAGAAAGAAATCTGGACGTCAGGCGCGTCCTCGCGTGACCCGGGCGGCCAGTCACTAACTCGTGCAGTCGGGAGCCGAGCCGGTCCACGTCCCGTTGGCCGTGCAGTGCCGCGTCGTCAGCCCCGAGGTCCTGTAGCCGTCCCAGCAGGCGTAGATGACCGAGCTGGAGAACAGGACGCCGTCGCTGCTGACGATCATGCCGTGGGCGGGCGTGCCCGGGTTCCCGCAGGACACGGCTGTGAGGGACACAGAGCGGTCACACGCACAGACCCGAGAACGCAGAGGTCACCGGGCAACGGACGGCAGAGCTACTTTTTAAAAAGCGCAGGACACGTGGCTACGGAAGACGTTCAATACGCGTCTGACCTGACGACTCACCCCCCACGTGCCTGACGAGGTACGAAAGCCACCCTTTCTCAAGAGCATCCCTTCAGAACGCACGACAAGGTGACTTAAAGCACTGAAAATTCAAAGCCTTGCTACTATGAGACTCAGTCAGTCTCTAATACAAAAATAAAGTAATTAAAAAAAAAAATCTCTACGTTCGCCGCTCAGAGGTGTTGCCCGTCACGTAACGGCTGAAATGCAAACACCAGGGCAAAGCGGTCCCGCCCTCCGCGACCAGCGTCGCTCGTTTTGGAAAATGACGGTGCCCGAGGAGCGCGTGCCACCGAACGTGGCCCGTTCCGCGCCGTGGCCCCCGGTGGCGTGTGTCCTGAGATGACGTCGGTGCACGTCCGGACACCGAGACCTCAGCCGACGGCGGGCGGTGCCAGGGGCCACACTCCGCGTCCCTCGGGGGCCCTTAGGCAGCAGCGAGCTCGGCGGCTGCTGCGTGTGTATCGGGTGCGGACTTCAGTCTACAACGGGTTTTTTTTTTTTTTGTTTTTTTGCCTTTTTTGGGTAAGCCTATTTACCCAAAAAAGACTTATTTTTCTTCCTTAGCCCTCGCATAATAACGTGCAAATCAGACAGATAAAGAATGCAACCATTGGCTGGATTTTGAGAACGAGATGTATCATAAGACCATTTCTGAGAATGACCAAAATATTTGAAAATACTCTTGCTGTCTAGTTGCTCCATTTTCAAATCTGGCCTTGAGAACAAAGACGTACTCTTCTTAAAAATACAGACAACAGACTGCAAAACGTACGTAGCATACAAAGCCACCGTCATGGTAGTTAGGGACTTGCCTACCACACGTGCTGCTGCTTCCATCCCTGTGTCCGTGACAGACACGACTGATCAATCGTAACCCCTTCCTTGATGAAGCTGGGTTTGAACTAACGGTTCTTTCTAACTCAGACCTTCCCGTGATTTCTCGGTTGGCATTTGAGATGAGATATGTATTACCAATACTGAAGCAGACGGCATCTAATGTTCTCTAAAGCTCTGAAGCTTTATGATGCTGTGACATACATAAAAATTTCGTATTGCAAACAATAAGACGTTGGCCTATTCAAGACAATGATTCATTCAACAAACATTGATTCGTCATTTATGTAACAGGCATTGTAGATGTAGAAATGGAAACCCTAAAACAGAAAAAAAAATTTGGTCCAATTCATAATTTAGCAAAGCAACAAAGGACACCCATGTTATTATATTTTATTTGAATCGCATCTGCTATTAAAATCTATGTTGCAGTTTTCAAAAATCACCCACGAAAGACGAATGCTGAATGAAGCAAGTGATCGGTGAACCACATGCAACTTCATTTCTAGACAAATACATCGTCAGCTAAAGAATGCCCGTCGCGATCTCAGCCTCATGACCGGAAAGCACCCTGAAATGCCGTGTTCTGTGAAGTCAAATTCATGGTTAGGGACACGTTCGTCGCCGGTCGCGCCTGTGAAGATGAAGACGAGAAGTCGGCACGGACTCATCCGGTTTTATATTCGCACCAGCGCATTCGGAGATAGATGTAGGAGCCAACCCCGAAGCAGGACGGGAGATTAAACCCCCAGTCACTCGGAGGGAAGCGACCTTTCTTTAAATTACAAGGTAAAGTTTCTTTTAAAATACACACTTCCTTTTTAAGTACATCGGGTTACTGTGACTCCTCTTGGAAAAATTTACTTGATTTATAATAAAATAGCATCGTGCTCATCCCGAACGCTCATCGCTGCTTCCGGGGTCAGCTCTCCTCGCTCAGCACGCCATGTCGGAGACTGCTGTTCAACTGGGTTAAACACTTCGGGGTTTGAATCTTTGCTCGTACGAGTTAAGCAGATGTGGGCAAGCAGCGTAGGTCCCGTGCGTGTGGTGCGTGTCCTGTGCGGTGGCCGTAACGGACACGATCGCTCCCAGCTGCGGTCAGATGACAGCTGCACGCGAGTGGCAGTAAAGATACACGTGGCAGCGGATGCCTCTGTCCCTTCCGTCACCGGCATCACGATCCGAATCAAGGCGGGGCTCAGCATCCCACGGGAAAAGGGGCCGGGGATGGACCCGACGCGACAGAACGTGGACGGCGGCAGCAGCAGAGCGAGGGGACAGCGATGGGAAGACACAGAAACTCTCCGAAGTCTAAGAATCCCGGAAAGCGTTTCCTTTTGCAATTTACGAACTCCTTTTTTTCCTTTTTTTCACAATTTATTGAAATGTTTCATCAGAATCCGATATTTTTGATAGATTCAGAGAAGGTAATTTCATCAGGTGGGAGATGGTCTTGGTTGGGGTCACAGCAGACTTTGGGGAAATGAAACAGTCCCATGTAACCTCCCATTTTCTGTAGAGAATACGCACCCCAAAGATTTTATCTATGATGAATGAGCAAAAAACAGCTGCAGTTTCTCCAAAAGGTTGTGTGTGTGTGCACGTGTGTATGCATGTGCGTGCGTGCATGTGCATGTGTGCATGTACGTGTGCATGTGTGCACGCGTGTGCATGTGTGCATGTGCGTGCGTGCATGTACGTGTGTGTGCATGTGTGTGCGCACGTGCGTGTGCATGTGTGTATGTGTGTGCATGTGTGCATGTGCGTGTGTGCATGTACGTGTGCATGTACATGCACGTGCATGTGTGTGCACGTGCGTGTGTGCATGTGTGTGCGTGTGCATGTGTGTGCACGTGCGTGTGCATGTGTGTGTGCACGTGTGTGTGTAGTCACATATTGCCATCGACGGTTTGTTGTTTTACCGAGTGTAACATACACTATCGTTTGCTCATTCGTCTTCCAATGGCTTCTGTACAGTGCAGGTGGCAGGCAGTCAGTTTTGGGGGCATGGCGTATTCGAGAAATATTTCCTGTGTCAAAACATTTTAGCCACTCATCTCTGTCTACAGCTTCTCCTGTGCGCTGCGCGACAATACCTCACACATTCCGAGGTGGGCGAGTACGCAGTGCACCCGCTGAAGCTCTCCCGGTCCAACGAATGGATTCGTCCACGCTTCGCTGACACAGAGCTCCCGTTAAATGGCAGCGCCCGGACGAGATTTCCACGGAGAACATGGCTCACTCCCTACTGCTTTACC